AAATCCTCGCAGGGGCAGAATTCGCCGATGCATGAAAGGCTCTCGCCCCGTCCCCTCACGCCCCACCTCGCAGAGCGGAAGGGGCTCCGAGGCCGCGCGATCAGGGGGGCAGAGCATCTCGCCGCAAGCCGGGAAGGGGGCGCAGCCAGCGGGGAGGCAGGACGATGCTCCGGCAGCAGCAGATCGCTCACTGCCGAGCGGGGCCTTCTGGTCCCACATAGAAAGCACCGACACACGGGGAGCCGGTTTAACAACAAAGAAAGTGAACAGGCTATACTTGTTCCATCCTTTTTGTTCAGAATCCAGGCGCAACCCTTCACCATCACTTGCAGGAATCTCCCCTTCCCTTTCCCAAGGAGTCCACCGGGGGCAGCATTTGCTGCCTAGGCAATCGCTGCTCCAGGGGTGATCCCTCCAGGAGCCACCAGAGGGCAGCATTCGCCGTCGCTCAGCTTTCCATCAGTCCTCCCAACCCGTGAGATCAGGCTGCATCCAAGGCTGGGGGGGGGTGTCAAACACCCACCCACCCAGGCTGCGCTTGCTTTGCTCTTGCATGGAGGTGGACTGACAAACCCACCAACAGGGCCTCTGAGAGGGCGCCTCCAAAAACTTGTGGGAGTCCAGCCCCTAATGTGGACCCTCCCTTCCCCAAACAAGGGAACTTCTTGCCCTGCTCCTTGTGCTTGGAGAAAAGAGGGACCCCCCCAAGTGAGAAAAACCTCAGCCATTTTTATCACCCCTTTGGAAACGGAAGAGATGTGCATGCTGGGCCACCCCAGGTGTTCTTGGTCTCCCCACACCCTCCCACCCCACTCCACCTGACCCCAGGTCATCTGCCAAACATGATCAAGGAACTGGGGGGCCCGTGCAACTCTCTGCACGTGCCCCAGAAGCCAAACCCACCCTCGCGAGGAAGACAGTGCACCCTCTTCCTGTAACGTCCACAACCAGGTAGCCAACTCTGCACTTCCCGTGCTTAAAAAAGCCAATTCAATTCTGCACCGTTTGGAAATGGAACCACACCGCGGGCTGAGAAAAGCGGTTTTCCGCAGCACAGAAAACTTTGGCAAATCAGCTTGCTTTGTGGAATTTCTTTGTTCTGCAAAACCTCCCCCACTCCGAGTTATTGAATCAAGATCCTGATGCCCGACGTCTGGAGGCTCAGCACGCCCCTTTCCCAGACTCTTGACTGCTTTCCTGCAGCCTGGAACTTGGTCCCTGCTCAAAAGTAGAGCTGAGCTTTTGTGGGGGGGGGGTGCCGGCTGGCCCACCACGGATCCCATGTTGGCTTCCCGGGGGGAATCGGCTTGTAATAACCCACAGGTGGGCCACCCAACCCAGAAGCTGCAATCAGTGTCCACGGCTGCATTCGCACAACACCGATCCGGATGGAACCGCAGCTTGTGCTGAGCAAGCGAGGGGGTTGTGGGCCCCATCACGCTAAGCCCCGAACAAAGCAGTTCAGCCAGGGCACAGGACGAGGAGGAGAGGGCTCAATAAACAGGCAGACAGGCATCTCGAGAATCACCTTTTTTTCTTGAAACAAATTCCAACTTAAGTTCTGCAGGCCTTTGAGGGCCATCCTGGAGACTTGTTCGACTCCCACAGAAGCACAAATGTCCTGGCGTTTCTGCCAAGTCCCGAGTTGGGTTTGCAGAAAAGAGGCAGTGCAGAAGCGGGGGGGGGAAAAAAAGAGGAAAAGGAAAACGTGGGGTGGGGAACGGACCCCAAGGTTTCCTTAGCAGACACCAAGCCTCGCTGGGGCTTTGGAAACAAAGGTGCGACTCTCTTCTCTCCTGCCCCACACGCCAGACGGGGGCTTGGGGCAAGCAGGACCGGCCGGCCGTCTGGACGGCAACCGGATGATACCGAGAGCCCACAAACTGCTAACACCTAAACACCACCTAAACACCGACTACGCTACCTGGGAAGGCCAGCTATTATTGCTAATGGAATTGTAAACAGAGGAGGGGGCAGTCCCTGCTCAGCAGCATGAACAGGAAGGCACTTAGCGTGAAGACGAGCCTCCACGCCCTACAACCTGGAGACAGACAGCCGAGCGGCTTCCCCAACGGAGGAGCCTTGCCCTCAGGGCCGCCAATCCGTGCCGGGATCCAGCTCCCCGCCCACCAGTCACCACCTTGCTTGCCTGCAAGACCCCTGTCCTTGTCAAACTTCGAGATCTGGAAGGCTGAGACATCAACAGACGCCAGGGGTCAGCCAAAGCAGGGAGGGGGCTGCGTTCCCGCGGCCTCCGGGGCTCCTTGCCCGTAGGTTGCAAAACCAGGGTCAGGACTAACCCTGCAAGGCACCGCGAGAGAAACGGACACGAGGGAAACCAACTTGGAGCAGATGGGGCGGGGGACGGAGGTGGGTGCCTGAATACTTCGTTTCTCGTTCGGAGTTACGGTTCCCCTGGGAAGAAATCAGCGTCGAAACCCAGGGAGGCGCAGAGCAGCTGGGCAGGATGGGGAAGACGCCTGGGGTGAGGCTCCAAAGTTGATTTCTAGGCCAGAATGCCGGGGGGCCTTGGGGGACCTAAGGCTCCCTAAGCTAGACAGGGATCTGTAGACACAGCCAACCTCCGGAGGGCCGGGGGCCTGCGGCCAAAGAGCACCTTTTGCGGCCGGAGGGACTCCCTGGCCCTTGACTGCTCTGGCTGGAACAGCCCCTGGCTGTGGCATTTTTTAACGCCTCCTGGGCTTGCCCGCCCCTACAAGGCCACGCGGGGCTCCACCCATCGTGCTACGAGGTCTGGCACTGGACGTTGTGCCGCGTGGGATCCTCGAAGTCGTCTTCGTGGTAGATGTCGCTGTGGAAGCACCGCCTGCCGAAGTCCGGCTGGGGGAAATACTCTCGCAGTTCTACCTCCTCCATGTCTTCGGTGGCCATGACCTCTTCGCGGTGGGGGAAGAAGGCCTGGAACTGGCGGAGCTGGTGCACAGGCAGCCAGCCGGGGTCCGGGAATTTCACCTGGGCAGCAAAGGGGAGGAGGTGAGGGGGCAGCTGGAGCTGTGGGCCCCAGGGCTCCTCCTGAACAGGACCGATCGGCAGGAATTTGGGAAGATGAGGGACAGAAAAAATGGGAAGCAACTACCGGTGCCCCAAGATGGCCAAAGGCTCTTCCTCTAATCCACAATCGCTTGCTCAGATTGTGGTCTGTAGCAAACCACGTTTGGTCGAGCACTTGCTCTCCAAGCCAGGATCAAGCTGGCTATATCCACCCCACACACTCAACCTGATTGCAGAACGAACTCGTTTTCTGGATCATGCAGCGTCATAAGCTAAATCCAACAGGCCGTGCTGGAGAAGCAAAACTAACTCAGACTAAAACTAGCTAAGCGTAGCATGTTGGAAGTCCCCACCGAGACTTTCCAGAAGGGGCTGGCTGGGGGTGGGGTCAGGGGCCTCCGTACCTCGAAGCGAATGACCAGCTTCCCCTTCTGGGCAGGGCTGCGGTAGACGGGCATCCCTTCGTTCGGGATGCACCGAACGTCTCCAGGCTTGATCACACACCCTGCGGAGCAGAGCAGGCAGGGATCATGGAGGAGCCTCAGCCAGCGACGGGCAGACCAAGGACCCCCTGTTCCTGCGGCCCAAGGGATCCCCCCCAAGAGGATCTGTGGGACCCATTTCGGCTGGGGAGCAAAAGCTTCCAGTTTGAAGGAGCCAAAGGGCCGGCTCCTCCTTTCTCGCAAGCCCAGAGGGCCCCCCACCCCCTCACCGGGCCGGGAAGAGACCAGGAGCCTCCTGTTGTCCAGGGTCTGGATGACCTGCTTGCAGCCACACAAGGCGTCCACCAGTGGCACTTCCCGCTGGACAATCAGGTCGTTGCCCCTGCGCTGGAAGACGGGGTGCTGCTTCTGATCCAGGACGATCACGATGTCTCCAGGCTCAAAGCCAGGCGCCTGGTCCCCCTCCTGGTGGAAGGTGATCTTCTGCCTGTCGGCCATGCCTGTGGAGGGGACAAGAGCTGTGGGCTAAGAGGGGCCAACCATCAAGGGGGCGGGGAGCCTCCGATTACAGCTGGGGCATGGGGAGGGGGAGACCCCCTCTACCCAACGAGCTGAGCCCGTGGAGCCGCTGGTGCTCTCCGAGCTGGGTGGTTGCAGACACTACATTGCCCAACCAGGTCACATCATCGGGGCGAGGGAGGGTGGGGTTTGCTCCCTGTTTACATACATAGCTTGCCCTGCCAGCGTGGGTGAGGGTGTGGTTTTCTCCTTGGTAGTTCCTTGATTAGGGCATTGTTTTCTTTTTGAGTGTCTGTCTGGTGTTATTCCCTGCAGAGCGCATCCATGAACACCAACGCGCAGTCAGCAGACGCGGTGAAAACACCTTAATCTCACAACACAGGACAGACTCAACTGTAGTTTCAACTGGGAAACTGTCAGCATCTTAGGCCAAGCTAAATCCAAAAACGCAAGGGAATTCCTGGAAGCTTGGCATTCAGACAAGTCAGCCATCAATAGACACACAAACGATATATACACACCGTTCAAAAGAGAGAATAAAGAAGCAAAGGAAAAAACAGAAAGACCAGAACACATCCCCTCCAGCAGCCTACACCCAGATAAGCAGGGATGAACACCAGACAAACAGTCGAGCAGAAAACAATGCCCTAGTTTTGTGGCACACTTGGTACAAATAGCTCCCCCCACACTGGTGAGCATGCACACCTCTGTGTGTGTGTGTTAAATGCTGAGAATTGCTTCAGATCCTCCCTTCTCTCTGTCTTCAGTTGGTTTAGGCCCTTGAAGTCAGAAAAGCAGCTCCAAGGAGTGGTTTGAAAACAACAAATGCTTTGGTTTCGCAGGGGATCAAAGATGCTGCAGGAAGAGTCAGCTCGGCGGCAGAGAAGAGAAGAGCTTGACCTGCTCCACCCTCCTGTTCGGGGACGCTTCTGAAAGCCCACCTGAGACAGGATGGTCAGAAAGACCAGAACACATCCCCCCCAGCAGCCCACACCCAGATAAGCAGGGATGAACACCAGACAAACAGTCGAGCAGAAGACGATGCCCTAACTGAGGAACTACCAGGGAGCAAACCACACCGCCACCCACGCGGGCAGGGCGAGCTTCTGCACATAGACAGGGAGCAAGCCCCGCTCTCCCTCGCACTGAAGGTGTCACCTAGCCGGGTCATGAAACGTCTGCAAGCAAACCACCGAGCTCAGGGAGCATCGAGGGCTCTCCAGCCAGAGATGCTCTTCTGCTGGAGCTGAGCCTGCTTCATCCGCCATGTGAGTT